TAGAAGAAATGGGAGAAGAAATAGAAAAAGGAGGAGGAGAAAAAGAAGAAAAATAGAAGGAGAAATAGGAGAAGGAGAAGAATAAAAATAGGGAGGAGAAGGAAGAAATAGGAGGAGGAGAAGAAATAGAAGGAGACGGGATTTAAGGGTGGAGAGGGGTTGGAAAGGGCCGACGTTGGCCGAATCAAGAGGCTAGTCCTCATGGTTAAAAAAAATACCCCTCCCTTTTCCTTGGGTGCACTTACCGGTCCGATGGTCAGCTCTTTCTTGATCAGTTCCTTCAGTTCACTCTTGTTCAGGGAGTTCTTGTCACCGTCCTTGCCCGCATATTTGTGGAAAACGGCCACCAGGGTGCAGAGGGCTTGGTCGATGGCGGTGGACATGATTCGAACTCGGAACCTCGGGAGAGAGGATCTAGACGGGGGGGGGGGGGGGGAGAGAAAGAACAATCCCAAGCTTTTTTTTTTTTTTCCCCGTCTCCTTTTTCTCCCTTTTAATTTTCAATATTTTTTTATTCTTTGTCCTCAAAGCTGGCTTCGCTTTGCATTCGGTTACCAACCAAACCCGAGAAACGGAGGGTGGTAGGGGAAATATTCCGAATTATTATTATTTTTTGGCCACAACTTAAAATCTTAAAATATGCATGTGTATGTGTGTGTGTGTGTGTGTGTGTGTATGTGTGTGTGTGTGTGTGTGTATGTATACGTGTGTGTGTGAAGTTTTCACGGGTACTTACATGTATGGTATTCGGCTTTGTTTGGGTATTTTCCCACGTCATTTTTTATATATATATATATATATATAAATATATATATTTTCCTCCCGGCTCCAAAGAGGCTTTTGATTTTAAGCTGTGATTTCATTTTAATGACCACGTTCAAAGGTATTCAAAAATATTCCTTCAGGCTGGGCTGGGCCCGGCTCCAATTCCCCGCCCTAAAAACACTCGCTCTTTTTTTCCCTTCTTTTAATTTCCCCTCGTGGAGCCTCTTTGGCTAGGAGGAGTCTACCTTAAAAGTCCCCACCCGTCTTTTTCTTTTCCACCCCCTCCTCCCAACCACCATATTGAATCCTTGCTTTCTTCTGCTCCCTCCCAATGCTTTCCTCATTCCCCGAGTCGAATATTCAGGCCAAAGTTTGAGGGGCGCACCCGGAGGTCATTTAGCCTGACCCCCTGCTTCCTTGTCGGAGCGAAACCAGAGAATTCCTGCTCCTCCGGGGTGCCTGATCCACTCTCGTGTTTTTAAGTTTCCTTTCAGACGGGCCAGGGTGCTTATTTTTGAAAAAAATATATATCTTTTTTTGATTGGCAGGCTAAGGGTGGCTGGGGGGGGGGAGCAATAGGGCCTGACCCCCAAATCCCACTTTTGCAGAAAAAATTCATTAACTCATTTCCCTCTGGGTCAGTGGCCCTTTTCACTTGGGTATCTTCCTTTTCCTTTCTCCTTTTTTTCCTTCCTTTTTTCCTTCCTTTCTTCCTCCCCTCCCCTCCTTTTCTCCTTCTTTCCTTTTTTCTTCTTCCCCTCCTTTCCTCTCCCGTCTCCTTTTCTCCTTCTTTCCTTTTTTTTCTTCCCCTCCTTTCCTCTCCCCTTTTCCTTTTCTCCATCTTTCCTTTTTTTGTCCTCTCCTCCCCCTTCCTCTCCCCTTTTCCTTTTCCTTTCTTTTCCTTTTCCTCTTTCCTCCTTTCCTTTTCCTTTCCTCTTTCCTTTCCCCTGCCGCCTCTCTTCTTTCCCTCCTCTCCTTCCTTTCCTTTCTCCTTCTTTCTTTCTCCTTCCCCTTCCTTCCTTCCTCTTTTCTCCCGCCCTGCCCTTCCCCTCTCGTCTCTCCTTTCTCTTTTTCCACCTCTTTTCTCTCTTTTTCTCCTCTCTCCTTTCTCCTGTTTCCTTCTTCCCTTCCCTTCTCCCTACTTCTCCTTTGACTTAATTTAAGCCATGAGATTTCCCGGCGACGCCACCGGTTGGCATTCCTGCTTCCTTGCCAGCTGTGACGTTGTGAGTTCACAAACACATCCCAAACTACACACAAGCCCTCCGAACGAGGCCAGGAGCTTCTAATCTCCCGGGGTAGAAAAAAAAAAAATGAAATGAAAATCCTCATTTTCTTTCTTGTCTGGTCATCCGACCACCTCTCGGCCTGGCCCTGACCAGAAGGGTTGTTTTTCCACTGCAAAAAATGAAATTTTTTTTCCCCCACTTCCCTTTCCTTCATAGCCAACTCCTCGTCTTTTTCATCTGCCAAAAAATAAATAAATGTCATTTAACATCCTGCCATTTTCCCTGAATTCGGTGCGTTTTCCTGCAAACGGATACACAAATCCCGGACGGTTTGCAAGCCGTAAACAATATCATTTCCAAAATGGTCTTAAAAACGGCCGGCCAAATCTCAGCCGTTATTCCCTGATGTTTTTATTTTTGATTTCTTTTATTCTAAAATAATAAAAAAAAATATATTTCCTTTTGGAAAAGGGCCTTTATTTTTAAAAGCACCCCATGCCCCCGGGAGGGGATTTATTTATTGACTTATTTATTTATGTATTTATTTCCCTCTCCAAACTAGGACCTTTTTCCCTTGCTGGTTGCAAAGTGAGACGCTGGAAGACATCGAGAGACGAAGGGGAAAGCCGGCGCAGGACGCAACGGGGAAGAGCTGCGGTTCGAATTGAGCCGCTGATCGATTTTAATTTTTTGGGGGGTCTCCTTTCTGGACCGGTGAGAAGTGGGGGTTTTTTTTTTGGGGGGGGTGGAGAAGTAAAGAGAAAAAGTTTCCAGGGTACCCTAAACAAAAACCTGCACCCCTTCCTCAAATTTCCCCCCCCCCCAAATTTTGCACATTCCCAGGTTTTCCCACCAGGGGGCATCACAAATTGGGTTGGGGGGGAAAACTTTGGAAAGTTAACTTAGCCAGCCAACCGATGGTGAGTAACTTTGCGTGGGGTGTGTTGGGGTGGCAACGGCCCCACCCATTGTGTGTCTCTTATTCCCGCTGCCCCCACCAAAGGAGAGACCCTGGCAAGATGGCGGAGAAGGGGGGGTGTAGAAAGTTTTCAGGGGCCCCCCACTAGGGACCGTGGGTTACTAGTGGGAGTAGAAGGGTCTCTTTGCCCCCCTCCCCAATGACCCACCCACGCCGGGTGTGGCTGCCAGACTTTCTCCAGCGAAGGAAGACATTTTGCTTTCTCCCCCCCCCCCCCCCCCCTTAACCCAAAAACACAGCCCTGGGGGGGGGCGTGTGTGGGACCCTAGAGGTCATCTAGTCCAACCCCAGGAAACCACCACCACCCCACCATCCTCGATCGTCCTTAAACTTAACTGGCTGCCCACCCACCCCGCTCCCACCCTCCCTATTGCAAAGGAGTCTGCTGCTAGGATGGCCGGGTGCCGCTCTGCACATGCCCCGGGGAGGGGGGCGTGTGTGGCGGGATTAAGAAGGCGGCAGCTGCGGTCGGGAGGGCAATCAATCCTCTTCAGGAGAGGGAGAGGAGGAAGGGAGGAAGAAGAAGGGAGGGAAGAAGGGAGGAAGGAAAAAGAAAGGGAGGGATAGAGGAGAGAGAGGGAGGGAGAAAAAGAAAGAAAGGGAAGAAGGAAAGGGAGGAAGAAAAAAGAAAGGGAGGGATAGAGGAGAGAGGGAGGG